ACAGGACAGTCACATCAATTCACGAACAACTCTGCAGAGTCCTAATTGACTTCATAGCATGTTCCAAGAAGATAAAAACAGGAAAACAGTGTTATGAAATTAGACCAGAAATCCATCTTACTTGGTATTTAGTTTCCTGCTGTAGGCAATGGTGAAGGCTCTAGCATAGTATAAAAGTAGAATGAGACTATGTTGCAGTGTTTCTCCGATATTCTCCCAGCATCAAACTATGAAACGGCTCAGGGACTTCCCCGGGCATCTGCATATTTTTGGTTTCAAGCAGTAAGAACCACCTGGTTTAAACATGCACATCTATATACATATGCATGAAAATAGAGTACCATTTCATTTGTTTAGAGCCCAACATCTGGTAATTTCTTTTGCTGGCCTCTATTTCTTACAAGTGAGGAGGTGTGAATAGCTGTTGGCCTCCTCCACAACATTATTACAGATATCTGCAATATATTTCTTAGTTGCTTCTTTTCTAGGCAGAAAAGTCTTTGCATGTTTAGTCTGTTTTTATGTGGGGAGTGTTCTGTGCATTTCACATTGCTGCAGTTCCTGGTACCTTGTTATGCTCTGCCCTGTTGGGGACAGGGACTGGAACTGTACACAGTGTTCAATATGTAAGTACAATAAAATGAAGCAGTGCAATGATTTTTTTCTTTTTTCTTGAACACTTGCAGAAATCATAGAACGGTTTGGGTTGAAAGGGACCTTAAAGATTGTCTAGTTCCAACCCTCTTGCCATGAACAGGGGTACCACTCATCAGATCAGGTTACTCAGGGCCCCATCCAAACTGGCCTTTGTATTTCTTTTCCAAATAGTCTTAATGTTCAGTTTGCTTATTTTGACTTTACAGAATACTGAACTGATTTATTCATAAAAAATCTGGTTAATATCACAACATTTTTTCCTCAGTGGCCGTGGTTAGCTCACAACCTACCAATTAGTCCATAGTTAGGGCTTTTTCTTCCCCATAGGCATTAGTTTGCATCAGCATTGAATTTTTTTTCTGTTTTATTACTCAGGCATTCAGAATGCTGCTGTCCTTCTGCACCTCCTCACACTCACACTTTTCATTTTTACTGTTGTAGCAAATACAGGTACCTCAGTGGGTATCCTCTGTCTATGACATTTTTAGGGATGATGACCACACAAATCCCTGTTCAGGTCTGCAAGTGACCTCCTGCTATTGTGAAGACTGACTACTCTGTTTGTTGCTTGTCTTATATCTGGTATTAATCCATGGCAGGAACTACATTCTTGTTCTACAAAGCTTTCTTTAAGACCATTTGATGATGTATAATAAGTGTTTATGCCTTTAGGAAATTATTACTTATGTGGTTTTGTCTTGCTTTTCTGTGTTAATCTTGTTAGCTATTTTATTCTCCTTTGGATGTGAATTCTTATTTTTGAAGTACATATTTTTAGTTTCAATAAAATTATTTACCCAAAATTTTAAACATTCTGGGGTTTATTTGTTTGTTACTCAGCAGAAGTTCATATTATGAACAATCTTTTCTCCAACTTGGAAGCAGGCAGCCTCATTTTTATACAATTTATTTTTTGAAATGAAATACTATTTTTATGTTATTTTAGAATGTTCTCATTTTTAGAAGAGAATTTCCTGATTCCATCAGGGTTTTTGAGCAGTTGTTCGGTCACAGCATTTTGACCCATGACTTGCACGTTGCTCAGAACCAAGTCAAGGGTGTCTTGGCTTGTTTCAACTTTCAGTGAAAGCTTCTTCATGAATCAGTCATTTGTGGTGTCATTTAGTCTCTACATCACACCCCAACCTGACATTTACACAGTCTGTGTGGGGGTGATTGAAGATTCTGATTACTAATTTGTTTTCTTGCTGTCTCTTAAATCTCTCTCGCTCACACCATTGTCATACTGATTAGGCAGTGACAGTGTTTTCTAATACTTATGTAGGCTTGGTGTCTTAGTCCATAATGTTCAACATTCGGAACAGTTATCTGATGAAAAGCTTTCTTTAACATACATTACATCCTTTTTTTTCTTGCCTATGTAGTTCGTTTTATGTTACAGGTTTCCACTGACTGCTTTCCTTCCATCAAGTCTCTGATGCTCCTGTTAGGTCAATATTCTCACTTAAAACTAGATATCTTAGTTCCTTTATCTAATTTAAGAACTTGCAGCATTTCAGTAGTAGCATGTATGCATTTGATCTGGTTTTTTATTTTCCTATGCTGTATTTAAATGTTATTTTTGAGCACAGAATGAGTTTAACTTGTGTCCTAAATGAGTTTTATGTGCTTCTGTCTTACAGTTTTTCTCAAGGTTATAAAGCTTTTTTTTAATTTCACCCCTCTGTGATTCATCCCCAATCCAGATATTCTTCTGCACCTGTGGGCTTTCCTATAGCCTTTAATTCAGTCTCCTTCTTTGGTGACTTCCCTGTGTTTTACTTACAGCAGCTTTACCTGAGCCTCATTTTTGCCATACAGACCTTATACAAAGTTTGTCCAGTTCCTGATGAGTCTAAACCATTCATTCCTACTCCATTGTCTGAAACCAGCATGAAAAAGCACTGCCAGAGCAAGAGCAGAGGTAGATAGATGAACAAGGATATAATTTTGTATTTGAGGAGGCCATCTGATTAGCCTAACTGAGGTGCTCTGCAGCATACTAATCTCTATCTGAAAGCAATGTATCTTGCTCATGCTGATTTAATCACACATTTTGTCCACCCAAGGGCCTTGTGGGGAAAAGAGAACTTCTTGCCTCTTAAATGCACTTTCTACTTCTGAGATATTTCACAGTAGTATATGAATTAGGTAAATAATTGAGCAGTGGTTACAGGCTGTACCTGTGGTTAAAATAACTCCAGTTCTTTAAATAACTTGTCTCTGTTTTTACTTCTGAATTTGAGGAGTGTCTTTGAAATTGGTGTATCCACCTAGCCCAGATGTATATGAGTAATTTTGCTGTGAGTGGATATTGCCGGGTCATGCCCAGCTTCTCATCCACCAAGTCCTCCTCAGGGCTGCTCAAATCCATTCTCCCTCCAGCCTAGTTTTATGCTTGGGGTTGCCCTGACCCAAGTAAGGTCATGCACTTGGCCTTGCTGAACTTCATGAGATTCACAGGAAGGGGAAAGTAACCAACACATTATCCACTACAGCATCAGTTTTGCACTCTTGTTGACACTCTTCAGTTTACCATTTCAGGAGTTAGGCAGCACTGCAGTTTGAAACCCTCCTCCTTTTTCTTTATGCAATTACACATTTTGATTCCCTTCCAAAAGCTATTAGCAGATTTTTGCAGGGTTTTCAGAGCACATGCGAGAGGGGAAACACTCTTTCGGCAAGACATTTCCCTTTAAAATCACTCACAACCTGATTTATTTAAAGGGCACTATCAGAAGGACATACCTTCTTCTACTTCTTCTGCCGGTCTCTCTACAGCAAGAAGTTTGTGTGGGGGTTGAATATCACGTATGCATGTAATATTTCCTCTTGGATGCAGCATTTGGCTTTTTTGCCCATTTATTTATTTTGCAACTGAGTTTTATGAGTATTACTGTGTCACAAGGTGAGTTTATCCTATCCACAGTAATGATTTTTAGTAAATGCATTGTTTTCCTTTTGGCTTAGCGTGCATCCCAGTTTTGTTACTGCAAGACGTAAAATTGGATTTAGCATTGCTGATGGAATGAAAGGAAGACGTAAGGGAAGCTGGCAGCCTAAGTGCCATGTCTGGAGGGAAGGGAAGAGGCAGCAGAGGGCAGTTCATACATCACCTTTGCAACTCTCAGCCACTGTAGAGAAATCTTTTCTTGTTTATTTCCTTACTCTAAAATGAACAGATAAAATCCTGGTACAAATGAACTACCCTCTTACATGTAAAGAGCCACAGTTGCTGTGAACACACCGTCAGGGTGTCCATAGTGGTGGGGGATCCCCACGGAGGGCAGCCGGGCAGCCAGGACCCATCCCACCCCTAACCCAGAGCAGGGCAGCCCCAGCCCTGGATATTGGGCACCTCCCTGGGAATGGGGATGAGTCATGGGACCACGGGTGGGCTCAGCTTGGTGGGGCCCAAGGCCAGGTAGGGCAGGGCTGTGGGAAGCTGGACACCAGCCCTGCTGTGGCATCAGTGGGACAGGGGCTGATGTGAAGTTCTGGGTCTCTGGGCAGGGTAGGGGGAGCCCCGGGATCCATCAGGGCCCATGAGGTGTGGGGATGCCCTCTAGGCCTGGCACACCCAGATGGTGTCTGCCATGATAATGAAAAATACACAGATTATGTTTCAAGTTATGCATATCTACAGCATTTGATGGCCAATCTGTTCTTGATATCTTTCTCAAAGGGCATTTTGTTCATTGTATTTGTCTTGAATGAGTTTTCCTATAAGAATATCTGGTGTTTCAGATAATCACAAACAACAAGTAGAACTTTGGGTGTCAGTCTTGCTGCTCCAGTGAGATTGGCTGGCTCCCAGAGTCAGCAAATCAATAGGTTTGGAGATGAGAAAATTTAAGAAGTTCTTCCCACGGTGGAGTAAATATTCCTTTTTTTAACCTGAAAGTGTGGATGTGAACGGATACCTATTTTCATTTTCATTCAAGTGCATGTTTCCCTCAACATTCTGTTCCAAAATATAGGTTTGTTTTATTTGTGGACTGTGGAGTGATTAAAAAAATATCTAGAAGTTCCAGAGTGCCTGTAGAAAGGTCTTTTTACAATTCTATGGTGACAAAAAGACTGTAGACTTTTCAGTTTGAAATACAGATTTATTGAAAATTGTTTTGAGTGGTTTCCATATTTAATCATAGTAAATAAGAGGGACAAAGAGCTGTATATTTATGGTCACAGTATTTAAAACACATCTGTGTATGCCCAGCTTTGGAGGCTGTTCTGGAACACCTTGCAGACACTAAAAGACTTATGCATTCAATAGTGTAAGAAATAGGAAGACGTGAACAAATATGACAAATAATATCAGTTTATAGGGCTTTCTGAGAGTTTTTTTCTTCCAGATCATTCAAGATACTCAAAGAAAAGATGTAAGATTATATATTTATGGAAAGAGCAAAGTAGAAGTGTGAGAAGTCCTTCATTCTCTAAAATGGGTACCTGGTAGATCCCAAATTTTTAATCTCTTTTCGTATCTCCAAGCTGAAAAAAAAAAGTCCTACAGCTTTAAGATTTTAGGACACTAGCTCATTTCTCCAACTCACTGGTGGTATATCCTGCTACTGTGTAGGAGGCAACATCCATTAGTTGTCAGTTCCAATCTCTCTAAGGTCAGCTGCCTCCATCGTGGGAACCAGCTGACAGCTGATAGAGGTTTATTTTTTTCTTCCCTGTATGTTGTTAGCAGGATTTCAATTAGTACAATCAAATGTACCTGTTTTCTTAAGACCCTGTCAGCTCTAAAATAAATAAATTTGTGCTTCATGAAGCAAATTCATCACTGAGCCCAGCATTATTTTTCTTTTGTGTAAGTCTTTTTCTCAAGGATATTTGATGGTGTTTTTTTCTGACTTGATCTCTTTTAGAGTTTTCAAGTATAGCATCTATACATTTGACATTGTATTTGTCTTTTTAGGAGGGACCTATCAAATACTGAATTTTATGTTCCATCAACAAGTGGATTTTGATTGTCATTTACCACACAATCTATAGGCAGATCTTCAGGGATGTAGTGAAAGACCATACTTCTTCTTGCTAACTTTCTTCTACCAGATCAGAGAGTAATACACCTGTGAAGCATAAAGGTGTATGTTATTTTTCCTTTGATCAGTTCCCGGGAATAGAAATTCCTGACTACTGAGAAGCCTATGATGTTGTAATACCTGTGATACTCTGAATTAGAGAATGTATATTTAAATAATGTCCTCCCATCCCCATTTGTCAGGGATTAAATAGACCAGACTGTCTTCTTATTGTCTTATGTCCCTGAACTAGAATATTAGCAGGAACTTGTTCTTTCTCAGTGTTTGCCTTCCAAAGCTTGGCCCAATCAATTGCTTCCTTGTTAGCTGATGTCCTCTGATGTTCAGATGAAAGAATGCCCCAAGAGCAGGAAGGCATCCCCATCAGTTTGTGGTGGGCAGAGGAACAGAGAGAAAAAAGCCAATACCCAGATTTTGAAGAGTAAGTGCCGTGGGGCAGTACCTACTGAGAGTGCCTGGTTGCTCCCTTCATTTCTGCCAAGAAGCTTCACTTCTGTGGCAGTGACTACCACTTGTCCCCGAAAAGCTGGGAAGAAGCTGCTTTGGCTGGTTGCTGTGTCAACTGTGCTCCCTTTGCCCACAGAATGCCAAGCACTGGTTGGTATGGCAACCCTCCTTGGAGCACCCAGAGATGCTCAATGGGGAACAGGCTTTTTGGAGAAGGCACTGTGGTTTAAGTAGAGATGGAAACTCTTGTGCCAAAGGGTATGAGGGGGCAAGTAAAACCCACACAATCATACATTTATTTGGAAAACTGTTCTGTAGAATCACGTAAGTCTTATTCCTTAGATCTATTTATAACACCGTCCATTTGTGTTTCAGTAGAAGAGGAAAAAATAGTGATAATTTGGTACAAAGGGTACCAAGACAACATATATGTATGGAGCGTCACACTGAAATCAGTGTGACTGAGCTTCTTTAGCATTTTCATGAGAGTATTGTAGCTGCATGCTTGGGAAAACATGTACTATGTTTTCAACCTGTCAGTATTGTAGGGATTTTGCATGGTGGCAGAGAGAAGCCCAAGTCAGGATCTTACAGGTGAGATGAATCTTTACTATAGCAGCCGGTAGACCAAGAAGTGAAGTGTTAGAGGAAGATGCTTTGGTGGACTAGAGTGGATGTGTGTGCTTCTGTGTGCGTGCTCAGGTCTCCTTCACTCAGGCTGTTCAGGAACCACATCTAAAGCCAGAGAGATTCTGATCAGACAGTTTTCTTGTAAAAGACTTTGCAGAGCAATAGACTTTGGTGATTTTCTCCATTTGCTGACAATTAAATGTATGGTTTAATTATTTGCTGACAATTAAATGTATGTGTATAGTTTAGACATTGGGCAAATCAAAATGTCAACAAGTAAAATATAATGTAAAAATATAGGTTTAAAGCACTCAACAAGCTGTCTAGGGAAGGGGTAGAATCACCATCACTGAAGTGTTCAAAAGGCATGTAGATGTGACACCTGGGGATAAGGTTTGATGGTCAACGTGGTGGTGTTAGGTTAATGGTTGGACTTGATAATCTTAGAGGTCTTTTCCAACATTAATGATTCTGTGATTATAAATTTTTTTTCTTCAATAAAATTTTTCTTTAATATGAAAGTTGCTGAAGCTATTAGAGAATTTTGAATGTGAAGAAAAATGTTTATGTGAACATCTCACAGAACTGAATAGCAGTGCTGGTGAATTCTGACTTCCTAAGGTTAGCCTTTCTGAATACACCTTTATTAAATTCATATTTAGCTATCTGGATTAATGTGTGCATGAATCTCTTTCTCAGGTCTCTTCCATGTATGGTAGGGGGACAGATTTTACAGACATTTTGTCAAAACATAGGTTTCATGAGTTTGGCTTTGCAATTAACTTTGGGCTTATTGGGAAGAATATAAATCATCAATGCTGCAGAAATAGCTCCTTATACTACAGCAGCCATATCTAATTTTTGAAATTATGTGGAAGGTGAGGGAAGTGACTTTGAAGTTTTAGAGTCTAAGGCATGGATTTTCAATATATCATTTTATCCACTGAATGAGTATTTACTTTATTAACTCATCAAAATTAAATAATCCAAAAGCTGATGGTAATAGTCTCATTTATCTGTTGGTCAAGAAAACAAGGATGTGAATTTACATCCAAATGCAAATTTAAAATGGGAATCTGTATTTCAAGTAGACACAAGGCTGTCTTCTGAGATAGGGGAATTTCTGTAATTTTCAACATATTTATTAATTTTGCATGAATAACTTCTTTTGCTGAACTGTCATGTTAACAGTACTCCATCGTAATTGTTAATTGCAGTGTTTACCTAGCAGTAATTTTGAAAAAACACATTTCTTCAGCTAGTGGAAAGCTTGTAACATTCTCAATACATAATAAAGTAAGACTCTAAACTGATAATCAATTTTAGAGCATTGTTGCTGCTATAATTATGTTAATTTTATTTGGATGAGCAAACTATATTTTAAAATTTTTCTTTCCCTATTATTGAGTGCAGGAGAGAAAAGCTAAAGATAGTAAACCCTGTAATAGAAAACAAATTGTTTGCTTTTAGTATTATGACATATTAGTATTTCTCATTCATTAGTCTTATAGTCAGTGCATTAGGTACTGTACATCAGCTGTCTGAAGTGGCTTTGTAGGAGCGGCTTAGTTGTGCTTCCTACATGGTATGTTCACTCCATGAGAGTGTCTGGAGAGACAAATACTGTGTAGGCAATGCTTAAAAATTTCTATGTACATGATTAGCATATACGGTATTTGTGAGTCTCTATAATTCTTGCTTAAGATGTTTTAAAATCACAATACACATGATGTATTATATCAGTTGTGATATCAGCCTGTTTATCGTCATATCTAAATGTCTTCCAAAGTATTATCAAAAACTATTTGAGGTTTTCTAATTCAGTTTTCCACTCCCCTTCCCCAGCGAAAACTAGGTTGAAAAAAACACCATCACACCTTTTTGTGTTCCTTTCCTTACATTAGTGGCATTGTTGCCATGATAAAAATTCGAGGATGCTCGTTACTGTCCTTTATCCTTGTCGGATGTTCCAAGGTCTTTCAATACACAAAAGAAAGATCATGTTGCCTGTGCAGTCCAGCTTTTCCCATTTTGAGAACATTTCTCCTGTATTTCAGAAGCACTTTGTATGTTGCCCGTCAGGGCTTTGAGTGATTTTTTACCATGCTTGACCTGAAGCATCTTATTACTGTGAACAGCCGGAGAGGGGAAACATTGAATGTTGCATGGTATTGTTTGGGGGAATAAAATATGTTTTATAGAGGTCTTTGATGCTGAGAAAATTGTCCACTGCTCCATGCAGTAGTTAGAATTTCCTAAAGCTGGCAGCTCTGTGTTGTCTTTGACAACACTCTAATGCAGTAGCTGTAGTGGGATTAATCTTTTCTAGCTTTAGACTAGCTCTTGACCTCTATATCATTGTAAGTTCCCTTGGAGGGAGGTGAGCCTTAATAAACTTCATGACTACTTAATAAACTTCATAGACTACTTACTGAGAGGTAAAAGTTCATTTTCTCATTTTACCTGACAAATACTTAGTGCAGTTTTTTCCAGTCCACGCTCAAACCATTTTTGCATTTTTCTTGAGTATAGGGAAAAACTTCCTTTATGGGTACAAAGTCTTGAAAATTAGTTAATCAAAGAATGAGAGCTGACATCCTTGTGGGTTTTAATAAGCTTTCTGCAGGTAGTGATTTGGGTAGAGCCACTCTAAGGAACTGACCTTTCCTGCTCATTTATTGCTCCTTGCACAGCCAAGCAGTTTCAGTGCAGTTCTAATATGACTTTGCTGCTGCTTTTTGCTTTGAGGTGATTGAAAAAAGTGTGATGGTAACCAAGCATGGTTCATATTAATTCTTTCTGTCATCATCTTCCGAGCAGCTGAGGCTGACAGAGCCCAAATGTACAGTGATCCTTCAAGCTGTGCGGTAACACAAGTGCTTTCTTGGGTACTCTATTTCTGTCATGTCTGTTCTTTGAAGTGCACAGTGGGGTTACTCTTTTTTTAAAAAATAATTTTTGGGGTGTCATTGCTTTCAGTACATGCAAATATAGTCATATACATAGACACATAGAAGATTTTTTTAAATTTTAATTTAAAATTAAGATGCTTTAAGAAGTGAAGGTTAATAGGGGAAGCACTAATGAAATTCTTATCTTAGAGGATGTGTTTTGGAAGTTTGATTTTCATTCAAGACACTGGAAGTTCCAGATGTTTGACGGATGTTGCTGGTTCTGTGTGTTATTTGTAAACTTGCTTCTCTGTTGTTCCCTGACATAGTAAATGTTATTATATAAAAATAAAGTAACAGACTATTAGTGCTTGTATTGCTACATATGTTTTACTTAGCTAATTAATTACTCCACTCATTAGATGTTAACATATATTTTATCTCAGGCCGAAGGAAAAGGGAAGCTAGCCTGAAGCTCTCTTCTTTTCAAATTAATTCCTCTTATATTTTGGTGCTGGCCAGTTCACTTCTTTCAATGCTGTGCTGTGCCATCATTTTTCTTTATTTCATTTTTTAGCATTATTTTGTGCATATACTGTGCATTTACCTATGGTGAGCTTCTGGTGCACTGCTCATGTGTCCACAGCTTTTATAATACCAAATTTCTTGACATTGTTGTGCAAACCATTATAGAAGCCAGGCACATAGCAAATTTTGAATGTTAATAGAACCAAGCTTTAATTAAGGCAAAACAGAGCAGGTAGAGGATATTTGTTCTAATGCATCAGCATTAGAAAACTGGTTGCAATGAACATGAGGAGAGAGGTGGTCTTCCTAACATGCTAATGGGAGCGAGGTGGGTGCACCCAGTGTAGCATGCGCCTCATTCACTGATGAGCAAGGATCATTAGTCCCACTGAAGAAAGCTGCTGACAAAAATGGAGCACGGTTCTCCTGAGCAGTCATGTCAGATTTGAGATTTGACGGATGAGATTCCTTCCAGGCAGTTCCACGTGGGCTCTTCTCTCCCATCACGGGGCTCTTTTGTTTTCAAAGGTCTCCTATTAGTTTCTTAAAATGGGAACAGCTTTTCCTTGATATCTATAATGATTTATTTTTCTAAGCAATTAAATTTGATTTCTTTAAACTATAGCAGCTCCCTCATTAAAGAGAATGAGTCACTGAATCAAAAATGCAAAGGCTCTGAGCGTGAAAGTTTCATATGATTTCAAGGAAAGGCTGTAGGGCTTGAGGGAAGCAGGGCAGGAGCAATGCCTGAAATTGAATTTTCTCCACATGAAACCCATTACAAGAATGGACCGTTCTCAAAAGCTGTGCTTAGAAAGCTTGAGCATCCTTTTCCCAAACAAGCAGCAAGCCTGAGGGGTTTTGCATCACCAGTTTGTAGAACCAGATGCAAATGCAGGTATCCTGTGGCTTGCACACCTGCTGCTAAATATTTAAATGTGTTTGGAGATCACATAAATTTCTCAGGGTTTTGTGAAGAATTTCATGAAGAGTTTTATTGTTTAGAGCACTTCTGTAATTTGAAAATCAGAGTTTCAATGGCCTGTACTTATGGTGT